ATTAATTTCTATTGCCCATGAATATCAATACCTAATAATTGATAATTAACACGGTAAGGAGCTATAGAATATATGGAATAGGGCAGAAAGCTTTGTTTTTATGAATTGTTCGTTCATTGAATTAATTTTCAAATAAGTCGTATCTTACTCAGACCAATAAATAAAGCTGAGGTTATAGTTAAAGCCGCTAGTAAAAAACCGAAATAACTAGTTATAGTAGGCATGAAGGAGCTAAATGAAATATGTTCTTTTTATACATATGTTTATAAAGCACTTACCTAAGTTTCAATTTTTAAACGAGAGGGGGATAAGCAAAAATACCAATTGAAATAATAAGTTCAATTGAAATTTTTTGCTTCATCAATCATTATAAACGGTATTCACAAAAATAGAGCGGCAGGACAAGAGTAGAAAAGAAAAAGAAATCGATTCATCATCTTTGTAGTTAGGTCAAGAAAAAACCTTTGGATCTAATACAAGAATACAAGAAAGGCCGCCTCACAAATTTAGTAGAATTTTTTTTTATTCCTTCCTCTTTTTTTTTTATTTTTATTTTAAGGAATTGCTTAGTCGTCTAGTAACAAGTAAGTATAAAATAGAAATCTAATATTACATACAATAATTAAATATTAAACAATAAGTAAATATTAAAAATATTAATAATTAATAATAATTAATAAGAATAAGTAATAAAAACTGTGTTGTATAACTTCACTCAAAAAAACTTTATAAAATTTTTCTATTTTGATACTTTCTTTTAATGTGTTGTATAACTTCACTCAAAAAAACTTTATAAAATTTTTCTATTTTGATACTTTCTTTTAGTTTATTTATTTAGTATTATTTATTTGTATATTTTGTTATTTGTATCGAAATTTTTAATCGTTTTTTTTCAATTTTAAAAACGATTTTTCTTTTTTCTTTATAATACCTTTTAGTTTTTCATAATACCTTTTACTTTTTCCTTTTACTTTAAATTTTATTTAAATTTAACTTATTAGATTTATTAGTTGATTCATTCACATAATATCTCGAAAAAGAAGAAAAAAAAAGTATCGCATGATTAGATCACTTGAAAAAATCAAAGTGGTTAAGTGTCAAGAAAGACCCTTTGAATCTAATATACAAATACGTGCATCACGAATCACGAATATTGATTATTAGACATTAGAATTATTTTTTCGTTGTTCTCCTTCTTTCATCGAGTATTCTTTACTACTGGTACTTGTTAATGGATGACTAACCCATTTTTAAATGAAAAAAAGGGGGATTCCAACAAAAAACTCTTCTTCTACAAGCTCAAAATTTTTAGATTTCACATCTAAGAATTGCGGAAATATAATATGAGAATCATCTTTATAATATGATAATCTCTCTCATGAATTATTATTGAAACTCGTCGAATTCGTATTTTACCCGATCTTATGATACACAAGTCTACAGCAACAAAAAAAAGAAAAAAGAGATTATCTAGGACTTCATTTCAATACTGATTGAAGTTGCATTGCTGCATCAGAAGAAGGATAGCTATACTGATTGCATTGCTGCATCAGAAGAAGGATAGCTATACTGATTCAGTATATTTTAAAGAAACCCTAGGTACAATATTGACGATCTCACAAGATGCAATTTCAGTGAAATCGCATTTACTGATCTTATCTTTTACAGAATTGATCCCTTTTGATTGTACAAGAATATGTGGAGTTCAGTATGTCTGAAAGCACAGAAGAACGTTCTTTTGCTGATATTATTACTAGTATTCAATATTGGGTCATTCATAGCATTACCATACCTTCCCTATTCATTGCAGGTTGGTTATTTGTCAGCACGGGTTTAGCTTACGATGTATTTGGAAGCCCTCATCCAAATGAATATTTTACAAAGAGCCGACAAGGAATTCCATTAATGACTGGCCATTTTGATCCTTTGGAACAACTCGATGAATTTAGTAAATCCTTTTAGGAGGCCCAATGACCATAGATCGAACCTATCCAATTTTTATAGTACGATGGTTGGCTGTTCACGGATTAGCTGTACCTACCGTTTCTTTTTTGGGGTCAATATCAGTAATACAGTTCATCCAATGATAAATCTAATCCCTATTAGTTATAAAACTATGACACAATCAAACCCGAACGAACAAAATGTTGAATTGAATCGTACCAGTCTCTACTAGGGGTTATTGCTCATTTTTGTACTTACTGTTTTATTTTCTAATTATTTCTTCAATTAATAGAAGAAAATAGTAGTGTAACGCCCCATTTTTTTATGTCGAAAATAGTAAGTTTACCGGTTTATGAATAGTACCACCAGTCTGTGAATAGTACTACTGGTCCGGGATTCGGTAGTATTTTGGTTCCAAAAAATTACTATATATGTTTTATATTTTCTTTAATATTTTTGGAGTATGTATGCATGATTTTTATGTGTAGGAAGTAAGTAATGAATATTTTTGGAGTTCTTGTGATCAGTTTAATAGGATTTTCTTTTATGGTTCAGATTCCGGATTGGGTTCATCCCTGTAAGTAACGGGGCAAACTGGACTGTAGACATGAAAGCGTAAGAACTCAACGGTCCCTTAGGTTAATCTTAAACTACTAACTTCTCTCTTAGGCAATTTATCTGTTGCTTGTGATTTTAGATGATTCTGCAGAGGAGTTGCTTTGAACTTTGCACCAAACTGTAGTAATATTTAGGAGAAGCTTTCCGCTGCTTATGTTATTTGAAATTTTTTTGGAAAAGTTAATGGTTATACAGTCTGGCAATTTTTGCAAATGCATTTGGCCATTTTATATTCAAATGTCTATTAATGTGAGGTTTGTTTTAGATGAGATTGCTATCCATCTATCGGCTTTTATGTTTATGAGACAGGAACTGAAATATCGGTGGTTTGCCTTTGACTTTGCCTTAGTGATTATAATCTTTTGAACTTATGTATATTTGGTTCATTATTAAGTTTTCATTTTGTCCTGCTTTGCCATACGTAATGTGTTGTTTGTCCATTAAATCTTAGGGGAGCACATGATAGGCTGGCTGCTGAAATGATTGAACTGGCTTTGGATCCTCATGTGAATAAAACAGGAGACGTTTGGCACATATGTGTTAAGGTAGTCATTCCATCAGGCTATATGAAGCAGTGCCTTCACAGTGTTAAGGCTATCCTTATCTTACTCTAGGTTAATTTGTTTTACTGACAACATAACTTTGCATGTTACGTTAATGAGGGAACAAGAAGAGCATACAATAAATCTTGTACCTCGTCCAGCTCAGTCACTGCTAAAATTGTACTCTTTTTTCTTTTACCAGTTTTATTTCTTGTTCGTGCTTTTGATATCATTTTTGGAAATGCAGGATTTGCCTCTGAGCAATGTTCTTTATGGCTATCGGATGGATGGTCCTCAAAGTTGGCATCATGGGCATCGATTTGACAGGAGCTTTGCGCTTTTAGATCCTTATGCTAAGCTAGTTGAAGGTCGTAGATATTTTGGAGATTCTAGCCACAAGTTGTCTACATTTCTTGGAACTTATGATTTTGATAGCTTGCCTTTTGACTGGGGAGATAACTACAAGCTTCCAAATATTCCAGAGGTAGCTGAATTCAATTTCATGGCTGTAATATCATGACGTTATTTTCGTCTTTTTTTTTTTTTTTTTTTTTTAATTTCAGAGGTTTTCCTTGACTTTGTCCTCGTCAACAAAGTCAACAAACAATTCGAAATGCCTCGATTGGACACGTAATGGGTCTTGTGGACGCGTAGTGGGTCTTGAAGTACTATTTCTGCATCCCCCTGACCAAATCCACCCACATTAGGATTAATTGTTAATGGTTGATCGAGTTTGATAGATTCACCCTCTGAAACAAGAAGTTCTGGTCCTGGGGGGATAATATCAACCACTTGATGTCCATCCAAGGCATCCGTTATGGTTATTTCGTACCCCCCTTTTTCTTTTCGTATGATTTTGCTTACTATACCTGTTGCCGTAGCATTATAAACAGTATTGTTACTTTTGTTCCCGTCGGGATAAATCTGGCCCCTTCCCCTGTTTCCGCCTACGTATATGGGATATTTTAAGAAATGAGCATCCTTATTACTAGCAGGGTCTGGGGAAAGAATAGGAAAGGTGATTTCACTATATTTTTTACCAGGAACAGGACCTATCACAAGAATATTTTTCTTAGTGGGGCGGTAGTTCTGAAAAGACAGATTGCCTATCTTTTCTTTCATCTCGGGCGAAATACGATCAGGCGGGGCTAACTCAAACCCCTCTGGTAAAATAAGAACAGCACCCACATTCAAAGCCCCTTTCTTACCATTAGCAAGAACTTGTTTCAGTTGCATATCATAAGGAATTCTAACAACCGCTTCAAATACAGTATCAGGAAGTACCGCTTGTGGAACCTCAATATCCACGGGTTTATTCGCTAAATGGCAATTGGCACATACAATACGCCCAGTTGCTTCTCGTGGATTTTCATACCCCTGCTGCGCAAAAATGGGATATGCATTTGAAATGGAAGCCCCGGTTATTATATAGATCATGAGCGATACGGAAATGGATCGAGTAATCTCCTCCTTTATCCAAGAAAAAGTATTTCTAGTTTGCATGGTCCAATCATTGATCCCGAAAATTTCTACAATAAAATTAGGTAGGTCACTAGTATAGTTCCCTAGCCACGATTCTGCTATTTACTTTTACTGAAAACTGAAAAAAAAAAAATGACTGAAACAGAGGAGAAATTGTATTCTCCTGATGGGTAGAAAGAGTAAAGTAAGTACGACTTTGCATGCTTTGCTTATCTCGAAAGTAAGAAAGATTCTAATTGAATCCGTGAATCATTTTTCAGTCATTCATTGAATGATAAATAACTACAAGTGACGGAGATACACGATTTAAATAACGAAAGATCCAATATTTAAAAATTGTATCTAGAATGTACCGGAAATCCCAATTTTAAAAAATTGTTATCGAGATGACTGGAGGTGGGAAACAAGGCAGATATAATTTGATCATTATGAGCAAATCCAAAATCTTTGTAGACAGAGCCACTCATTATTCCCCACCGTGGGGTGATGGAATCCTATACATAAAATCGGTTATAGAATTGAAAAGCTTTTTGTGTGCTTAAGTTTTATTAGGAATCTTGAACCCACGAATAAGATAATAAGTCCTTCATTACTTAGATAGATACCCACTTTAGAATAACGAACAGATATATTTTGTCGAGAAGTTGTAATCGTATGGATACGATCTCATTGTGGCATCTTGATCAATTGGATCGTTTCTTTGTGGATTTCCCGTGTAACGAAAACCTGTAGAATGTGTTCCGGGTATTCCTTTATCATTTCGTCAAGCGAACGAGTTCTCTAATTCTATGGATTTTCTAGATACTTTTTCTTGGTATTTAAAAAAGTTTCGGATTTACTAGTATTACACCAATTAATAACCCAAGATTCAAAACTTTTATTAAATAAAAAAGAAAAAAAGAGATCCACCAGGGTAAAAAAACAATAGATGTAAGATATAGAAGGGGAATAAATGCTTTTCTTTTCATTTTTTTGTCTGTGAATTTTTAATAAACCCACTCCATTTATCGATTCTATATGATCTAATATTTCTATCAAGCATAAGTTCTATTACAAGGCTTCAAACTTTTGAATCTATTCCCTATTTTTTTTGTGAGTCAATGCTTAGTCCTTGAATTTTGAAAGAATATAAAAAAAAATAGCCTAAAGATAAAAAGAAGAGTATACAAATAAGGAGAACAAAAAAAAAAAAAAAAGAAAAAAAAAAAAAAAAAGATAAAAAGAAACGTAGATTGACAAAAGAAAGGAGAGAGAATTTACAAGATATGATCTATCCAGTATCAATTTCAAATGTTGAAAATAAAAAGAGAATTTCTTTATTCTATATTTTTTTATTCCAAAATGCTTTGTTTTGCTCTATGAGATGGGTTTATTATTTAGATTTCTTTCTTGTTTTGTTACTGAATTTAGTGAATTTACATACACATAAAAAAATTTGCAGATAAAAAATTTCGTTTTCTAATTGTTCTGTATATATAATATACATCTTCTTTGGTTCATCATCATTGTGAAGAATTTTCAGTTAAGTTATGCTATAGAAAAAAAAAGAAGACTCTTGGATTTCTTCACTCCTACTAAGAAAATGTTCATTCTCCAGCTTATTTCAAAATACTTCAATTAGTACATGCAAAAAATAGGCCAATTCGGCTACTTTTTGCTCAATTTCTCGTGGAGTCAAATTCTCATATGAGTCAAAGAAATGGCCCCTCGGCATCAAATTTCCATATAAAGGGCACGTCGAGCGTAAATACCCTCTTTAACTTCTATTCTAATAGATTGAATATCTTTCATAAGGAATCGGAGTAAGATGCGATGATTTTTTCCAGGAAATCCCCAGTGAAAAATACACACTATTCCTTCTTTTCTATCGAATCGATCATAACCACTACCAACATTCCACAAAATTGTGCACCACAAATAAGAACTAATAAATAGCCAGCGATCCCATATAAGGACATCATGATCTCTTGTGGAAAAAAAATTATTTGCTGAGATGGAAATAAAGACATCAAATTTTTGCCAAGATAACTGGAAATTCCAACCAAAAAAAAAAAAAAAAAAACCCAATGAACCTAAAAAAAGTATAAGAGACCAACAGAAATTACTTATTTTTCGAGACCCTACTATAAGTTCTATCCATATATGTTCTAATCGCCAACTCATACAAGATTAAGTTGCTTTTTATTTGAAGTGGGAAACTAGCCCAATTTGACTTTCTTTTTTTTGAAGTAACTTTCATCAACTCGCACTATTCGGATGTGAATCTCTAGAAAGAATTCGATGAATTTCCTATTTTTTAAAATATTTTTAAAAGGGAGCCCCCTCACCTCTATCTACTATAAAAATGTTGGCTTTGCATTTCTTTCAGGCCTCCGCGGCAATCTTGATTTATTTTTAAATAGTTCATTTACTCATATATAATATTTACGCCTGCATAAGACCCCTTTCATTTTCATTTATGTTTGAAGGGAGTTGCCTGCATGTTATTGATGGGAGCGGGTATAAAGCGGAAACAACCCTCTTCGAAACCATATGAGGCAAACTAAAAATATTATCGAACAAATCAATAAACTGACCTCTTGAAATGAAATGTATTCTTATGGAACCTAATTAGATGTAACAACCTCCGCCCAGTCCTATGAGACCCGACGGCGGATGCCACATTCAGTGCCGGAGACACTATCTTAACTTAACATATAATAGATTATAAATTAGAAGTAATTGAGTATTCACAAGTTACTCACCACCCATAAAAAGCATGTATGCATACTCCAAAAATATTAAATAAAATATAAAATATAAAATAAATATTTTTATTATTATATTAATATATATTAATATTATAATTATATAATATATTTAATATTTTTTAATATTAATAATTTTATTAAAATTATATTAATTTAAATTATATTAATTTTTTATTAAATTATATTAATTTTTATATTATTTTATTTAAATTATTTATATTATTATTAAATTATAAATTAAATTAATATTAATTAAATTAATATTAATTATATTAATTAAATTAAATTATATTAATATTTTATTATTAGATCATTAGAAAGATATCTTATAATCATTAGAATTCTTATATAATAATACTAAGTATATCTAAGTGAATATATGTAATAAAGTGCAAAGAGTGTAGAACTAACTAAATGACGTATTTCTATTTCTGTATGAAATATATATGATAATTCGTTTATTTGTTATTCTCATCTTTTTTTTTTCCTTATAACTTTCATTTTATAATTTGACTTTAATAATTTAATAAAAATAAAAATTTAATAAATAATAGAAATAAAGAGTTTTCTGCTTATAAAATATACAGATTCCAAAATTGATATTATAATTAAGCAACCGTTTCTTTCGAATGTCAATTTCCAATTGCCAATCAACAACAGGTAGATCTACAGGACATACCCAAACACATACTTCACAAGCAATGCATTTATCAAATTCAAAATGGATTCGACCGTGGAAATGCTCCAATGTAATTAATTTTTCATAAGGTTATTGAATCGTTACAGGTAAACGGTTTGCATGGGATAAGGTAATCATGAAACCTTGACCAATGTACCTTGCAGCTTGCATGGTCTGTTGCCCATAATTCATGAACCCAGTTACCATAGGAAACATATGGTGAATATTTATCAATAATTTTATGTTTGTTTTTTTCTCTTGTAAATCATGAATCTAGAAAATTTTTTTTATTATTCTTTTATAGTGAAAGGAGTTGGAAAGAGGTTGTTAATAATAAATTACCGAGAGAAATCGGTAAAAGAAATTTCCATCCAAGATTTAAAAGTTGGTCCATTCTTAGTCTAGGTAAAGTCCATCTTGTTGTAATAGGAATGAACAAGAACAAATAAATTTTAACCAATGTAGTAAAGATACCTATTGTTGTTTCAAAGACTCCACCTATTTTATTTATTTGAAAAAACTCAGGAACGAATAGATACGAAATAGAGATATTCCAACCACCCAAGTAAAGAACTGTTACAAATAATGAAGAAACTAATAAGTTTAGATAGGAAGCAATATAAAATAAACTAAATTTTATACCAGAATATTCGATTTGATAGCCTGCTACTAATTCTTCTTCTGCTTCTGGTAAATCAAAAGGCAATCTTTCACACTCTGCTAGAGAATAAATAAAAAAATGATAAATCCTATAGGTTGACACACTAAAATAAGAGGTAAAAATTTATTGGTAGCATACTCAATCAAACGGGTGATTTTTTCCCCTACTACGGATCCCATACTCCATAACTGAAAATCCATACCCAATTTGCTACGGAAATACCGTTTAGCTTGACCTGTGCCTGTTTTGACAGCCTCGGTTAATCCTGTCTTTTTTGATAAGAATCAATACGGATCTTATAAGGTTCCTCTTCCTGAATGAAATTCAATGGGATCTCAGAGATACCATGTCTTCATCCATTTAGGATTCCAAGTTGCCTAGGTCAAATCGAAAGTTCAATTCCTATCTGAAACTACTCATTTTCAAAGATATCCACATTGTTCACCCAAATTTATTCATTCTTGACTTCAAAAATTTCTTATAGTTTAATCCATAACAATTTTCGCATTGAACCACAAATGCTTGTATTTTTGAGTTATATCGAGATCATTAGAAACTTTCTCTTTATAGTTAAATTCACCGCTTACCCATTCGTGCTAGTTTCTTCAGACTGGAACTCTCACTATTCACTACTATTTCCACTTTCACCACAAATGTAAACTATAAATGTAAACTCTCACTGTAATTGTTACTACCACTTAAATCAATACAGATTGACGAGCGAAGATTGTTAATTAATTGCAATACAACTCTTGATGTAATCCAACTATATTTAGTATCAGGACTTAGTATCAGACATATAATGATCATAGTGAGAGTAACCACTGCTAGACCCATTATCAGATAACTCGAATTCCAATAACTATAAAAAGAACTTTCTAATTCATTCAAAAAAAAAAAAAAGATGAGTTTCGATCTCAAAAACTTGATTTTCAATATCAAAATATATGGAATAAATGTCCCTATTACTATCCGTAACTAAAAAAGTTTCATCATCGCTGAAATTTCAAATGCCAACTAAATGATCAATATTGCTATAATTAGAGCTGTCACTATTACTCCAACAATGGGTGTTTTTATCTGTATTATTTAGAATTAGGTCTTTGCTTATACCGGTATTTTCAAGAGGATTAAAAATATCCATTGATTTACTTAACCTACACCTTAATCCTAATTCTACATGGATAAGATCGAATTCAACCATCATTTTTCCAAACATTTTTTATAAGATCTATCGTCATTTTCAAGAGGATTAAAAATATCCATTGATTTACTTAACCTACACCTTAATCCTAATTCTACATGGATAAGATCGAATTCAACCATCATTTTTCCAAACATTTTTTATAAGATCTATCGTCATATAAGGAAGCGGGTATTAAAAAAAACGATTTCTTTCTTTGCTTTTTGTAAGAAACCTGGAGTATCGCTTCACTATATATGATATTGAGTTATGATTGGGAATCCCGTTTTCAATTATTCAATTGAATAAGTCTAAATCTATAATAGAAAAGGATTTGGTCACTTATTGGACCAAATCATATCGAGGGAAAAGGGTAGTATTTTTTTTTCCTAAAAATGTTTGAAAAAAAAACATTTTTTTTTGTAAAATCTCGTCTATTTAATAAATTTCTATTTCCAACACGGAACGAAAAGGCAATATACAGGGCATGAGGTTAAAGAAGTTGTGATATTGGGGCTCGACCCACGACCCGAAATTAGGAATATAAAAAGAATACACCAATCTATAGATCCTTAGGATTAATTGTGTATCCAAGATAACAATTAGAAAGGTTTGAGTTATTTAGTCTTATATTTTGTCTTTAAAATCTTGGTATATTTAGTTAAATATGTATCTATCTAAATATGTATCTAGTCAAAAATATATACAAAAAATATTATACATATATACAATTAAAGGGTCTTTATTTACAATCCTTTTCCTAAAAAAAGGATTGAGCCGAGTTTAATTGCAATCAATTAGGAGAACAAACAGAAATTGCTGAATTATGTGCGCTTAGTTCTTATATTTTCTGTTTATCTATTTCTGTTTATCTATCTTATCTACTGGTTCGAATTCGAATTTGATCTCTTTCCATACTTCACAAGCAGCCGCAAGTTCGGGACTCCATTTGCAAGCTTCGCGGATAATCTCATTACCTTCACGAGCAAGATCACGTCCTTCATTACGAGCTTGTACACACGCTTCTAAAGCTACTCGATTAGCTACCGCACCAGGTGCATTTCCCCAAGGGTGCCCTAAAGTTCCTCCACCGAACTGTAGGACGGAATCATCCCCAAAGATTTCAGTTAGGGCAGGCATATGCCAAACATGAATACCCCCGGAAGCCACGGGAATAACACCTGGCATAGAAACCCAATCTTGAGTGAAAAAAATACCGCGACTTCGGTCTTTTTCAATAAAATCATCACGTAATAAATCAACAAAACCTAAAGTCATCTCACGTTCCCCTTCCAGTTTACCGACTACTGTACCAGCGTGAATATGATCTCCACCAGACATACGTAATGCTTTAGCTAGTACACGAAAATGCATACCATGATTTTTCTGTCTATCAATAACTGCATGCATTGCGCGGTGGATGTGAAGAAGTAGACCATTGTCTCGGCAATAATGAGCCAAACTAGTATTTGCAGTGAATCCCCCGGTTAGGTAGTCGTGCATTACGATAGGAACTCCCAATTCTCTGGCAAATACAGCCCTTTTGATCATTTCTTCCCATGTACCCGCAGTTGCATTCAAGTAATGTCCTTTGATTTCACCTGTTTCAGCTTGCGCTTTATAAATAGCTTCAGCACAAAATAAGAAACGGTCTCTCCAACGCATAAAAGGCTGGGAGTTCACATTTTCATCATCCTTGGTAAAATCAAGCCCACCACGTAGACATTCGTAAACTGCTCTACCGTAGTTTTTTGCGGATAATCCCAATTTTGGTTTAATAGTACATCCCAATAGGGGACGTCCATACTTGTTCAATTTATCTCTTTCAACTTGGATGCCGTGAGGCGGGCCTTGGAAAGTTTTGGAATAAGCAGGGGGAATTCGCAGATCCTCTAAACGTAGAGCTCGCAGGGCTTTGAAACCAAATACATTACCCACAATGGAAGTAAACATGTTAGTAACAGAACCTTCTTCAAAAAGGTCTAAAGGATAAGCTACATAAGCAATATATTGATTTTCTTCCCCAACAACGGCCTCAATGTGGTAGCATCGTCCTTTGTAACGATCAAGACTGGTAAGTCCATCAGTCCACACAGTTGTCCAGGTACCAGTAGAAGATTCGGCGGCTACCGCAGCCCCTGCTTCTTCAGCGGGAACTCCGGGTTGAGGAGTTACTCGGAATGCTGCTAAGATATCAGTATCTTTGGTTTCGTAATCAGGAGTATAATAAGTCAATCTGTAATCTTTAACACCAGCTTTAAATCCAACACTTGCTTTAGTTTCTGTTTGTGGTGACATAAGTCCCTCCCTACAACTCATGAATTAAGAATTCTTACAACAACAAGGTCTACTCGATATAGATTAGGCGTGAATGAAAACTTTGACAAAAATCTTTCAAAAAATATTCAACTAATATTATCAATGAATTAAGTTCCTTATTAGACCATGCGGAATCTTTCACAAAGTTATCAACCAATATTATCGACTAATTCAAGAATTTTGTTATATAGACCATGGTATTTTGATTTCACAATTACATAATTATTTTTGCTATTAACTCTTTTCATATATATGGCGCAACCCAACCTTGTTTTTTTCATAGTTTCTTAATCCTTAAACTTTTTTGAATCCGAATATCTAAATAATAGAAATTTCCTCTTGGACAATGATATATGTTGTATATGTAAAGCCGAACGAAATGTGAAAATTCTGCAGAATTCATCTTCACCCTTGACAGTAATATATGTTGTATATGTAAATCCTAGATGTGAAAACAGGCGTAATTCGGCCCTGAAATGAAAAAAAAGGGAATATAGATGGAAAAAGGGGGGAGAGGTTGGACGTAAAGTAAAAAAAAATCGATATGCTAAAATAAAATATGAAATGAAATTGAAACAAGGCTAATGAGATAGAAATAAGGAATCATAAATAGAGTTCGGGTTCGAATTCCATAGATAATATGGATGGTGTTGCCTATAATGATGGACAAATGAAAGACTCTCCCAAAATTTTTATTTATCCACTTCCTATTTTGAAAATAGGTTGGTTGAACTTAAAAATTCCTTCATTGAATAAGGAAACAATCCAATTGCATGCACTTGAATTGGATGGGACCAACGAAATCGAGCGCTAACCCCCATTTCTTATTGAATTAACCGATCAACCTCCTGTCGAAGATTTATTTTGTATTAGATAATTTTGGAAAAAAAAATTGACATAATGAGAATCAATCCTACTACTTCTGGTCCGGGAGTCCCCGCGCTTGAAAAAAAGAACCTGGGGCGTATCGCTCAAATCATTGGGCCAGTACTAGATGTAGCTGACTCGTTGATAAAAGGGAATTCCTCTAGTCCAGCTACCGTTCGCGGAAGGAAGGCAGCAAGAAATCTTCTATAACCCCGAGCTCTTATAAAAGCCCGACCTCATTGCGTACCTTGAACTCAAGAGGGGACTCCCTGTCAAAGAAAGGACTGTCTTAAAGCATTCCAGCCTTCCTTCTCCTTTCAGGGCCTATCCGAAAGAGAATCCAGTACTTCTTGGTCGTGAATATCTGAATAAGACAAATCACCCCGTGGATATCTTTGCGTCAACCAAAGCTTTTACGCTCTCTTAATGAGTGGCTAGGCCAGGTTGCCTATGGACGGCACATACTGGCAATCCCGATCAGTTGTCCTTCTCCTTTGACTTTAAGTTGGCTACTGATAGGTGGCCACTCCTTGTCTTATCTAGGATGTTGACACTATTCCATGGTGTATGACCAGGGTCTCCTTTGACTACCACTTGAACGAGTCAATCGGAGGCTTTATCAAAAGCGGACATCTTTTTAATTTAAATAGAAAATGCCGACTAAGGATCTTTTTTTTAAAAAAAAGGGTTCGGGAAACCGGCTTTTTAACTTGGCTATAGATATATAATGAAAAACAGTTTGAAAAAAGCGAGTTGGTCATTATAACTACTAATCTTAGAACCAAAAAAAAAAAAAAAAAAAAATTGACTGCCCTAACTATGGCGGAATATTTCCGAGATGTTAATGAACAAGACGTACTTCTATTTATAGACAATATCTTCCGTTTTGTCCAAGCGGGATCCGAAGTATCTGCCTTATTGGGTAGAATGCCTTCCGCTGTGGGTTATCAACCCACCCTTAGTACCGAAATGGGTACTTTACAAGAAAGAATTACTTCTACCAAGGAGGGATCCATAACTTCTATTCAAGCAGTTTATGTACCTGCGGATGATTTGACCGACCCTGCCCCTGCCACAACATTTGCGCATTTAGATGCTACTACCGTACTATCAAGAGGATTAGCTGCCAAAGGTATTTATCCAGCGGTAGATCCTTTAGACTCAACGTCCACTATGCTCCAACCTCGAATCGTTGGTGAGGAACATTATGAAACTGCGCAAAGGGTTAAGCAAACCTTACAGCGTTACAAAGAACTTCAGGACATTGGAACATCATTATAGCTATCCTTGGGTTGGACGAATTGTCCGAAGAGGATCGCTTAACCGTAGCAAGAGCGCGAAAAATTGAGCGTTTCTTATCACAACCCTTTTTCGTAGCGGAAGTATTTACCGGTTCCCCGGGGAAATATGTTGGTCTAGCAGAAACAATTAGAGGATTTAAATTGATCCTTTCCGGAGAATTAGACGGTCTTCCTGAACAGGCCTTTTATTTGGTAGGTAACATCGACGAAGCTACTGCGAAGGCTACGAACTTAGAAATGGAGAGCAAATTGAAGAAATGACCTTAAATCTTTGCGTACTTACCCCTAATCGAATTGTTTGGGATTCAGAAAATTCAGAAGCTTGAAACGAAATCATTTTATCTACTTAATTAGTGGGGCAAATTGGCTTATTACCATCATGCGCCTATTGCCACAGCTGTCGATCATCGGTATTTTGGAGGAATAACGCCTTAATGCCAAATGGGTTTAACGGATTGGGCTCTGATGGGGTGGTTTTTGCGTAGAATAGGCATAATGAGATTACCTGTTTTTAGTAAATGTATAGCAGAGAAGGGTTAGTGACATTGATCCACAAGAAGCTTCCAGGGCAAACTTCTGAAAATAGCAGAAGGCTAACTTGAGAAAAGCGGAAGGAACAGAGACTAAATAATTGAGGCAATTTCTAGCTCTCAGACGAAGCTAGGGCACGAGTAGAGGCTATCAATGGATTTTCGTAACTATAACTAGGTTGGTACGTCGATAATTCAAAAGAACTTCTTGTATAAACAGAAAGTTCTGTTTTAGAGTTTCTGTTATCATCCGATTTTTTTTATTTTTATTGAATAGATCATTAAGTAGATCAGATTATAATACAACGGAAAAAACTTTTTTCAATTTCAAAAGATTCAAACAGAATGGAACGAAAAAGAGATTCAATAACAATAAGGGTAAAAAAATAGGTGGGTAAAAAACTTATTCTTATTAGATGAACATGGATTCTTGATATTCTAATAAAGGTTCTACCTACTATTGGATGTTGAACCAATGACTCCCGCCGTATGAAGCAATTACTCTGTAACCACTGAGTTAAGTACGGTCATTTTATCCATCACAAAGAGAAAGAAATGGAATCCAATCACATCGATGGACTTATAAATGGAATATTATTTATAAGCAAACGGATCTCAAAGAGACTTTCAAACCAAATAGGATGTTTGGATCATATAATATTCATCTTGAAAGAAATTATTGACATTTGATTAAAATAATGTATACACAACACAAGGGCTATAGCTCAGTTAGGTAGAGCACCTCGTTTACAACGCGCAGCCACTAGTTTTTTTTGTTCAAAGAAGTCCATCATGTAATCAAAAAGATTATTGAGAAGTCGATGTCTTACTCCCATATTTTTAGCGGAACAAAGAAGAACAATAGCCTGGACACAAAGGGTTTCGGTCCAATTTAGGTGCCTTTTTAGACGGCCGAACAGAACTCATCATTTGATTTAAGGCCTTGATAGGGTGATTTACCCAGTTTATTTCAATGCTAGGGCATAATGAGCTATAAGGACCTCAAAAAATTTCTCTTTTCGTCCTTATCCTATGACTTAAGGTGTTATGAAGTTCATATTTGATTCTTAAGACAGAAAGCGGGGCGGTGGAGTTCCATTTAATTAGGTTATTTCAAGCCAAAAGCAGACCTACGTTCAGATAACCTATTTCTTTGAAACACTTTTAGTGCTTCTCGGATCGGAATCCATACATCAGAGCACATGGAGCCATTCTTCATTATCTTTCTGCCAAAGAGAATTATGGTAGGACTAACTGGATTATTTATATCAGTTAGATGAACGAGCCCAATGCAGAAAAAAGATGGCGCATGTTGGGTCTTTTGAACAAAGTTTCGAATCATCTTTGATAATAATCAGTTTGATCTTGTGTTTTACCGAGAAACGGTTACAGGTTCGAGTCCGTATAGCCCTAAAAAAAAAATAGAATTAAATTATGAATTCTATATATATATTAATATTATATTAATTATTTTAATTTAAAATATTTAATTTTAATATTCATTTTAATATATATTTTATATTTTTATTTTTCTTTATATTTTATATTAAAATTTTTTATATTAATATATATTATTTATATTAATTTTATATAAAATTAATTTATATATATATATAAATAATTAATAAATAATTAATATATAAATAAGAATTATTAATATAAATAGAATTATATAAATAAGAATATAATTATATATAAATAATAATTTATAATTAATATTATAATTAAATATAATTAAAAATATTATAATAAAATAATAGAGAATAAATGAATTATATAGAATATATAAATAGGAAATAGAATATTTATGTTAAATATTTTTATGTTAAATATGTAATGTTAAATAATAAAAAATATTAGAAATAAATAAAAATTCAATTTCTTTCAATTTTAATATTCCATTTTGATTCCATTTTTGATTTTGATTTCTGTTTTTTTTTTTATTTTTCTAATTTAAAATGAAAATTTTCTAATAGAATTTTTGAAAATAGAATTTTCAAAATTCTAAACAACTTAAACAAAAAAAATGAAAATTTTCTATTTGAATTCCCCCTTTTGTAGAAAAGAATCGGAAGTGAAGGTTTGAAATGAAAAAGCGAAGGAGAGTCTTATTTCTATAAATATAGAAATAATATAAATAAGAGCAATATCTATTTATACCTTATTCAATAGTATATATCAAATATTATAAGTCAATATCGAAAAAAAAATTTTGAAAATCGAAAGTTAAACGTAATTGGAAAAATTATAGTCGATGAATTCTTGAAACGAGAACATGTACCAAAGACAACGAAAACTGGTGGTTGATCAAAATTAAATTGTTGGATTGTTGACTAACCCGTTATGGATGAGTTAGAATTAATTCCAATTCGACTCGACTAATTAGTATTATTTTCCACATTCATAGGAGCGCAACCTATGTTTCTGATTTACGAATATGATATATTCTGGGCATTTCTAATAATATCAAGTGCTATTCCTATTTTGATTCTCTAATTTCCGGAGTTTTATCCCCGATTAGCAAAGGGCCGGAGAAACTTTCTTAGTTATGAATCGGGTAATTAAGAACACAATGGGCGATGCTTGGTTACAATTTCGAATCCGTTACTATATGTTTTGCCTCTTAGTTTTTGTTGTTTTTGATGTTGCAAACCGTTTTTCTGTATCCAGGGCAATGAGTTTCCGCTATTATTTGGGGTTATCACCGCATTATAGAAGCTTTAACTCCTCCTTCGTACTTCATCCTAATGTTTGGATTTGTTTATTGCGTTGGAGAAAAAGGAGAGCGTTAGAATGGTTTAGTTCTTGAATATTCCCCAAAAAAACAACTGAAAAAAAAAAATAACATTGAGACAATTATTGCAATTCCATTGAGTTTCCTTTACTGATCAAACAACTAAAATTTCAGTTATTTCAACTACATCCAATGATCTTTCAAATTGGTCAAGGACTCTCCAGTTTATTGGAACCTTCTCTATTGGTTACACAGTTGTTGCTTCATTGAATTTTGATTCTTAATAGGCATCACGATTCCGAACTTTGATCGTTATGGACTAGTACCAAGATCTAGTCCTAGACAAGGCGGACCTATTTTAAACGGCGCACAGTACCATGGGAAAATGGCTCCCTCTAGTGAGATTATATGAACAAATGCCAGAACCAAAATATGTTTATGTGCTTATCGGGGGCATGTACAATTTACAGGGGGATGTTCGAAGTTTACGATTCTTATCAAGTATACTGTTCGGGGGGGCGAAAGTCGATAGCTAATTTTCCTGTAGATGTCTATTTGCCAGGCTGTCCACCTAAACCGGAAGGCGGTTAATAGATGCTATAACAAAACTTCTGTAAAAAAAATATCTCGAGAAAAAATATTATGACAGATCGATAGGTCTCCACCGGGGAATCGGTGTTTTACTACCAATCACAAGTTTTAATATTGAACGCACTACTTCATCACTGGGAAAATTATGATCAGAGGATACTCTATCAACCGCCGTCTACTTTCAATAAGAACCCTCCGAAACATTTTTTCAATATAAAGGTCGTATCGTCCCCGAATTAGTAAATTAGAGGAAAGGATTCGTTTTTTACAAAATAAACAAAAGGCAAGTCCAATCTTCATAAATTCATCGTAAATGTGAAATACTTATAATTTGAATACTTATATTATACAAATAAATGCGGGAGAGAGAAACAAAGATGCGGCGGTCGTTTGTCTTGCTTGGCTAGGCTCAAACATTCGGCTGAGTTTCATCAGATCTTTGGGGTTATTGTTAACCAGGCAAATCAGAGACTTTACAAAATTTAAAGCCCGAAGATTGGCATTCCATTTGCTGTCATTTTTATATGTATATGGTTACAATTATTCGTTCGCAATTGTGCCTATGATGTAGCACCGGGCGAGCTGTTAGCTAGGTGTATATCATCTTACGAGAATAGAGTATGGTACTAGATCAACCAGAAGAAGTATGTATAAAAGCTATTTGCCCCAAGGAAGGAATCTAGAATTCGTCTGTTTTTCTGAGGTTCTGGAAAAGTGCGAGATTTTCAAGAAAGGGAATCTTATTGAATGGCTGGGATCTTTTTATGGATAATTCATTCCGCGTCTGAACGTATCTTTAATGCCGGAAAGTTGGGATAGGTGGCCCTTTACGTAAAGATTATATTGCTCCCAATTGTAATGAATACAAGACGCTCAATTGAATAGATTAGGAAACTAAATCTTCCAGTGTTACAATCCGCTATTCAAGGAATATTTGTACACTCTCTTATTTAGATCAACAGGATCATGAAGTCCATTCATATTTTTATGGGATTAGACTAAAAAAAAATTAATAATATATACCAAATAATTGATAATCACACATTAGGGATTCGTTGAATTCTTCCAATTTTAATTTTAGAGATTTATTTATTTCGGACGAGTCGAGCTCAATAGGATGAAACTAAACGAATTTGCATTTGAATTTGTACCGCGCAATCCCTTAGATTCCCTTAGATGAGCTATATAAAGTCACATTAACATAGGAGGGAATGAAGAAAATAGAATTGAAAGAAAATAAATACAAAGAAATGAAGAGGATCTGATTCTAATTTATACTGTATCATGAGATGAAACATTGGATTTTCCACCCTTCAACTTCTATTAGGACTAGATTGTTTAAGGTTCTTTAACTAAACTTAATTTCACTTTACTTTAAACCTTTCGAACTCTATTACTGGAAAAGT